CTGGTTTGTGAGCGGGGCTGGGTTGCAGAGCGGTGTGGAGGTTGTGGGGCCTCAGCTTAGCTCGCTCGCGGTGTGCTCAAGGGTCACAGACAGCTAAAGCTTGTCAGGCACCCTGTTGTGCCTTCGGTGTTTTATTAAGAAGTCTTTTAGGATTTTATCCTTTCCTTCTCGTTCATCCTAACGGTATAGCGTCTACTGAAAACTTCGTGCCTTCTCAAGACAGCGTTGCGTAGTTCGCGTGTGTCTAATTTGCCACCTTCGCGGATCACGCGTTTCACTCTCAGAAATGAATTATCCCAGCTGTGAGATCACTGAGATCGGAGAAGCTGTTAACCCCCCCCCCCCCCCTTTCCCTGGCCTAAGGAAAGCCATTAAAGCAGGTTGCTCTTACAGAGTTGCACAATAATCAGTTCCCTGGCCAATTTTTCATGTGACCTTCAGGGCGAAGGTTCTCCGTCTAAACTGCTGAAAAGGAGGTACAACAGAAAGTACAGCTGAGCATTTATATGAGAGGCTGAATTTGGGGAGGTAGACATAAGGGACATCAACCTAATTTTCGTATACTAACAGTGAACATCAAATATTTTGTAAAACTATAAAGAATAGAAGGATTTTTTTAGCAGTTACACTTTTTCAGTGATGCAAAAATGCAGAACAAATATTTTATATTTGTTGATGGACTCTACTCTGTCAAATTATTCTTTACAAAGGGAAAAAAAAAGAAAAAACCAAAAAACTGGAAATATAATCTCTACTCCAAGGATGGAGCAGAGGCTTGGGAGTCAGGCTTGGGACATGGAGGCTGACTAGGAGTATAGCATAAAGTAGAAGGGAAGTATTTATCAAGGCCTTGGTGATGTCATGTATTAGAACAAGTCAATAAAGATAACAGTCGTTCTCTGTCCAGTCCGCAGGCTTCGGACAAGTCTGTTGTCCGTCCCTATACAAGTCATGGATCTTCTTCAATACTGAGCAAAAATGGTCTTTGATGTCTGTCATTTTTAAAAAAAATTTGTGCTTGTTGTCTGTTTTTAGCCAGCCCAAGCTCTAGCAGTAGTACTTGGGAATTGTACAGGTTCTGTGCGTGGACTTTTGAGTAGGTGAAATTAAGTTGTTTGCCTTGGTAAAGAGGGTGTAATGCTGACCGTTCACAAACTCATTTCTAAGTTAAATATACAGCTTTTAAATCTATCGATTTGAGCAAAAGATAATGTATAAATTTTCACTGTTATGTGGGTTATTTTTGCTTTGTTTTTTGTCAGTTTTTGAAGCCTAATGAAGAGAAGGACGTTGATTATCCTGACCTGGCTAAGGAAGCAGGTAATTTAATAACAAAGAAGACATTTAGTTTTGGTTCCTGACACTTACTCTGAGTTTTACAGTTAATCATTTTATTATGCAAATGAGGGAACAACTATGTTCAGTAAATAAATACACTTCAAAAGCAAATGTAAAACTGATAAAAATGAACAGTGTCACAAAGTCTGTAACCTGTGACGTTGACCTGTTTGACTCGCTGCTTTCCGTTGCTGAAGTCAAAAGGACAGCTTAAATTGGATGCTTAAAATAATTTCACATCTGCATATATTATTTAAACATACTTTCATTAGGACCAGCAATCTTTGTTCATGAATGCAGAATTGATTGGATGAAATTTTCTGGTAAGGAAGCCTGCTCAGAGCTCGAAGGTCTGCAGAATTGTTCTTCCTGTGACAGTTAAGGTGCAGGGCTATATAAACCATTCACATGGTCTATTAAGAAATTCTTACTGCTCTGTTTTATTCCTGTGTATAGACGCCTGAATCATATACGTACTAAACTAAGTTACTTGTTATGGTTGTGTCAGCTGATTTGTTTGTTTGTTTTTTACCCTTTTAAGGCCAGAAGGCTTTAGCTGATGCTGGCATTCCTTATTCAGCAGTGGAGCAGGCCTGTGTGGGTTATGTTTACGGTAAGTAACGTAATTTGCTTAGGATGTGACTTTGCAGATGTTTGTGTGGATAGAGTTAAGTGTATGGGGATCCTATCAGTTTCCGGGGTCTTATGTAGGTTATTATATTTAATCACATGTCAGTTCATAGAACTAACTCTTAGGTTTTTTTATTTTTTATTTTTTTTAGTGAGCATAGATTTGTGTCTGTTAATCTATGGAGTTTACAGTAATAGTCCCTGGAACGGACAGAGTTCAAGAAAATTGTCCTGCAGGTGTGTCGCTTATAGGTAGCTCTTTCGGCAAGATCAAGCAGTAACTTTATACAAGTGATGCAAAACTTGCGTATTGTAATGTTTATGGCAATATATTTGAAATTAAAATTATAGCACAGTTTTATTCGCCTTTGATAGCGTATGTACACTAGAAAAGGCAAGCTTGTTTACTCAGCGCTGTTGAGTTGGAGACATTTGCTAGAGGTATTTTTGAGATCAAGCATGTTCTGTGACCTTGCGCTTTCAGCCTGAGAGCACAGAAGATAAAGACTCAACTCTTAAGTGATAGCTGAGATCTACTCTATGAGAGCTTCATAACTATTTTAATCCTATGCACATATGTGAAAACATAACCATGATTTAATGTACGATCTAAGATTATTGAGAGTATATGCATTAGTATGGCTCCAGAGTAATGCTTCCCAGGTGACATAAAGATACCTGAGTGGTTCAGATACCTACACAGTGCTGCCCTGCCTTTGTTACCGTCTGGACTCTCCAACACATTTCTAGCAGACACTCTCAGCTGAACTTTCACCTTGCAGTCACTGCTTATTGTAGAGGGAGGAAATGGTATTAAATGACTGACTCGAACCCTTTCCTGTCAGTCCAACTGACCAATTTCATTCCATTCCATTTGAAGGAGAGTTTTCCACTGTATGTGTGTGTGTGTGTTTCTCTATTAATACCTTTATATCCAGTCCAGTTACCTTCCATTAATTCACTCTGTTGTCACAGAAGCAAGACAAATTTCTGTTTTTAAAAATACAGTTTTCATCTGGTTCCTGAGGTTCTTGTACTGTGGTACTTTGAGATGTACTCAAATTCACGGTTCAAAAGTTCCAGTTTACAGTTTAACCTGTGGTATTGCATATACAAGGTGGAATTTCTTTTTGCTAGTGGAGCTTGAGTATGTACCTTATTTTAATGCTATATCTCTATGTAAAGGTGACTCAACCTGCGGACAGCGGGCCATCTATCACAGTTTGGGTTTAACTGGCATTCCTATCATTAATGTTAACAACAACTGTGCTACTGGATCTACTGCTTTGTTCATGGCCAGGCAGCTGGTAGAAGGAGGTGAGTTATTTTGCTCTGGAACTGGTTGATACGTATTCTTTAGCTGTATAACTGTAACTTGATGAGGAATGGGACTAGCAAACGTGTGTGAAAGAGTACTCTGAATTTTAAGTGTCCTATCTTCAAAGACAGAATTGTGTTTTCTGCTGCATTCTACTGAAGAGGTTGGTCAGTGCTGCCTGGACTGTGTCTTCTCCCTCCTCCTTTTAAATACATTATGAAAACTTAGTGTGTATGTGTATATGTATATATATATATATTTTTAATAGAAATGTACACACACACACACACACACACACACACACACACACAGAAGACACTTAAAAGAGTAAGACTGTCATTGTAAACTTGAGCCTTATGTGTGCACCTAAGAGACTTAAATCTATGATTCATTAAGATGATGTATATCGATGTAAACATCCTTCCTGTGTCATAAGGTGTATGAACCTCATATGATAAGTAATAACCAGTTAAGTTTTTCTGGAAAGTTTTTTGGAGGAGGGCAGAATGTGTTGCATTATGGTATTGCAAGAGACTGGAATCTGCAGGATGAAAAGGAGAGAAGAGTCTGACAAAAAAGCTTAACTCTCATTCTCTCTCTCTCTCTCTCTCTCTTCCCCTCCTGCCCCACTCCTTTTTTTTTTTTTTTTAAACTTGATAACACAAGTGTTTGCCTAATTGATTTTTGGTGGAGAGAAGAGAACATCTTGTGACAGACTCTATGCTTTGGATTGGTAGATGAGAGTTTCCTTCTGTTTCTGGATTTCCTTTATGGATTTTGATACTTTCTTGCAATCAACTGCTGATGTTTCTATAATAACAACTATTTATAGTAAGGTTCTATATACTTATTCTAGTGTTTGTGGCTGAGACATGAGTGCTTGATCATATAAGATATTTGCTGTTAAGCTGTAGAGAATTATTAAAAAAAACAACTAAAACCCTCTATTGATCTCTCAATATTTAATATCAATATTTTTGTATTAATACCATTCCCATCCCAGTTTGACTCACTCTCAAAAATTAAGAAAGGAGGAAGAGGAGCTGGTAGGAGCTTGTGTATATTTCTTGTAATAAAATGTTTAATGGTACCTAATGTCATTTATAATTAAATTGTTATTCAGATAGCCACAATTTTTATTTTAAGGTTTGGCAGATTGTGTTCTGGCACTTGGCTTTGAAAAGATGGCAAAGGGGTCCATTTCTTCAGTGGTAAGCGTCTAAAACATGTCATACATTTCATAGTATTCATATGACATACACTTCTTTCTCTGAGATATCGTCTCATAAATATTGATTGTTTTAGGATTTTTGCTGTGTTTTGATTCATGGAAACTTTTAATGAGTTTTATCATTCTGATTCCAGCTATGATTTGCAAATTTTGTGTGGAATGTTTTAAAACTAATTTCAAATAATCTGTCATGCTTTTAGGACTTTACCAAGAACATGTTAATGGCAGGGTTAATAGGAGATAAAGAAAAATACCATACAGAATACTAAGGCATTGCATAATTGCAGTGTCTTTCTCAAAATGACACAGCAAGTCAAAGAAAAAAATCTGTGTCTTTTGGCTTATGGATTGATCCTTACACAATTGACTATTTAGTATGCTTTCCTGAAAACTTAAGGGCTTCTGTAAACCTTTCTTTCTGTATCTCCCATGTTTTTTATTGGAGAACTGCAGGATATTTGATTGTTTTTTTGCCTTATGGCAACCGATATTGCTTACCAAATGTAATTCAACTACAGAACCTACAAACCTATGCATACATCACCAGATTTGGGTGAGGAATCATGAATTTAACAACTGATAGAAATGTCTAAGAGTTGTCCTTAACATACTGTACAATATCTAATCTCAGCTTTGTTGAAGATACGAAATTAATACAATATTATTGTTAACTTGGAATTATATTAAATGTAGGATTTTTAAGCCAAGGTGGAAAAAATTCCTGAAGTCATCTTCTGAAAATAGTGACTGTGATGGAGCTCATATGCAGGTGATCCTTAAAACAAATCAGTGCAGTGGTGATAATGTAAATGTTTTATTTACCCTTTCTTTTAGCTGGGATGTTATAAATGCTTCAAAACATGTTACTGACGTTCAAGGTGCTGTCCAGTGGAATTGTTTTAAAAAATCAGAAAAACCTCTATTTTCCTTGAAATCTATCATATTTGTCTAGGTATGTTTAAAGAAAAAGAGATTATGACTTGCTTTGTAACTGTTTTCCTTCTTTTTAGTTTTCAGACAGAACTAATCCAATTGACAAACACGTGGAATTAATGATAAATAAATATGGCTTAGCCAGCGCTCCAATAACACCTCAGATGTTTGCAAGCGCTGGCAAAGAACATATGGAGAAGTATGGTATTGTCAAAATATGTTTTGTCATTGTCTTCTTTTAATGAAGCGATTTAAAAAATTTGTTACGATTTCATTTTTAAAAATCAATAGCATTCACTGTTCTTTCTTCTACCCAAATGCCTCAAGTGCAACATCTACAGCTAGCACTTTAAGGGACTATATTTAGATAAAGAGTTGCCTACAGAAAAGTTGATGGGGTGGAGGCAGATGCAACCAACAGGGAGACAAAATTAAGGCTGTGATGCTAGAAGGTCTAATGGTACGGTGTGGGCTTCTCTAGGGCCTGTGTTATGAGGTGGCTTAACTCCTTGTATTTTCCTTTTGCCATTCTTCTGATGGGTAGATAGGCTGGTGGCCGAATTGTTTGACAATAGCTTTTGTATTTAATTGATTCAGTAATGCCACTGCTCTTTCTGACCCTCCTGCTAGCCAAGAGAATTGTATCCAAGATAGTCTCTTTGTTCTGCAGAATTCCAGCCTGTTGAGATCTTTTATTTTCAGTTAGTTTTAGACTAGTATATGGAAAAAACTTAGAGGCCAATATTTAAGTGCACCTATCCTGTAGTGAATGTGAAAATGAGTGTTCAAATTACAGTAAAAAAGTAATGCCTCAAAATGGTGGTATTTTCTGCAATTTTATGTTAGTAAGTGTTAAATATCCAAGTAGGAAGTTCTGTTAGCTGAAACTCGACCAATTTTAGTGGTCTTTATCTAAATTATCTAGTTTGTGGATATCAGTTGAGTTCTGAAGAAAGCTTTTGATATAGCGAATCTCTTGTAAAGATGCTTGTGAAGGTCAAATTCTTGACTAATACAGTATTTAAAATGCTATGTTAACGCTGTTTTGGATAGCTTCAGGGCCTCAACACAGCTTTCTTGTTCCTTCCAGGGACAAAACCGGAATACTTTGCAAAAATTGCATGGAAGAATCATAGCCATTCAACTAACAATCCGTGAGTATGGTACTATACCTCTACAGTGAACGTATGGTGCTGTTATTAAATTCATGTAAAAGTGAAAATTACTTATTTTAAAAAACAACTCTGCAGAGTGTGTTCTTTGTTAAGGAGTGAGAATGTATCTATATCTCTTTATATAAGGTATGTACAATCTCTCTCTCTATTGTAGCCAGAATAAATTTGTAATTGTATTGAGCGCGTTATACAATGTGTACAAGTGTACAACGCCTTGTGCTCAGTGAAAGCAACTATAGAGTTGCCTGAGAGTGTGATACTAGTATGAGTACTGCTGAGGACTGTACTGAAACAGAGATATGTATGTTTCTCTTAGGTATTCCCAGTTCCAAAAGGAGTATACGTTAGATGAAATTCTGCATTCTCGCAAAATTTTTGATTTCTTGACTGTCTTACAGTGTTGGTAAGAAAAACGACTTAGCCTTGTGAAAGATAAACCTTGAAATTAAGACAAACGTGGCTATACATCTATGTAAATAAAAATCTGTTTGCTTCTAAATTAAAAGTTACAGATTATTTTAAATACAACTTCTCATAAAATATGAATCTCTCTCTTGATCAAACACTATCTGGGTACTTGTTAACAGTATAATACAGTAAACTGAAATATTTTTCCTATTTTGGGGTTCTCAATGTCATTCTGTATCTTCTGTCAGTGTACACCTGTTGCTGTTAAGTGTTATTTCTCCTCTTCAACCTTTCCCATGTACTCTTGCAAGGCTTGCTCTTAGAATGTTTTTAGGCAAGCAAGGACTTTTTTTTTTTGGATAGAAAAATCTTAAAGAAGCATTTCTGTTGAAATGTCATATTGTTCAAAAATCTGTGATAAATATTACTGAAATGGGCAATTTTAAAAGCTGAAAGTGTCCATTGAACACTGATGGAATATAGTTTAAAAGACATTTGCAAAACAAAGGTTCTTTCTTTTTGGTGTGTTTTTTTTTTTAAAGGTAATTCTGTGGAAAACCAGCATTAATAATACAGAATGAGGAAATAATTATTTTTCTTTCAATCAGCCCAACATCAAATGGTGCTGCAGCTGCAGTTTTGGCTAGTGAGGAGTTTGTGAAAAGGCACAAGTTGCAGCCTAAAGCTGTGGAAATTCTAGCACAGGTGATGACTACTGATTATCCGAGCACGTTTGAAGAGAACAGTTGTCTGAAGATGGTAAGTTTACAAACATTGTATTTCCTGATATTTCTCATGGTGTGGGTTGTGGTGGTGGTGTCTGTTTTGTTTTTGTTTTGTTTTTTTAATACTTGCCAGCCCTAAGGATGCTGTAGACGTTTCCATGTCGGTAAGCACACAAATTATACTTTATGATGAATATAAAAATACTGTGATTTGGGCAGGTGGAGAGGGCAGACAATACAGTGGTGGAGTAACAGTAACAAATCCTATTAATAGGCTAGCAGAAATCTAGTTTTTAACAAATTATTTAAATGCCACTTTTTAAATGTCATTTTAACCACTTGAACAGGAAGAAATGTAGCCTGTGTCATGTGAACCCCTTTCTTAAATTTCTCTGTTCTATTATAAGTGTAACAAAACTTTAAAATGATTTTATTTATGTTTGTGTAATATTGAAGCTGAAATAATTTGTCAGTTGTAGCGATGAGTACTAGCTTGCTTAAGTAGAACCAAATAGTTTCTTTTGTCATGTCATATTCAGGCGATCAATGAAATTCTAGTGGAAAAAGGTATCAAGACAGTTGAGGCAGAGTTTGAGGTTTTTGTTTCAAGGTCGTTGGTCCTAGTCGCACAAAGGAGCAATTTGGCTTGTCAACAGGGTCGGAAAAAAATTGAGGAAATGCTCCCCAAAACGTTCCACTTACCAACAGAGAGATTTAGTTATTTCTTTCTGCACAGCTTATACAATATAAAAATTAAAGGCTATGATAAAGATATGTTTAATCTGCAGATGGTAGCATTTTGATTTTTTTCACTTACAGGATATATAGAAAGCACATTAAAAATCAGGTGTAGAAATGAAATCACTAGTTAAGTTTCTTTCATGATATTTTAACTGACGATTTTGTCTTCTTGCAGGTTGGCTATGATATGACTAAAAAAGCTGCTAAAAAATGCTTTGAAAAAGCAGGCTTAAAGCCTACAGATGTTGATGTGATTGAACTCCATGATTGTTTCTCAGTTAATGAGTTCATTACCTATGAAGCCCTGGGACTCTGTCCAGAAGGTATTAGTGTCAGTGAAGATCTTTGTTTTATTAAAATGTAAAGCATAAAAAATTTCTTCTTATCTACTTATCTAATTAGAACTTATTCTGAGTTCTCTACTGAAAGATCTTCTATATTTGAAAGCCTTATTAGCTAACCTCATAAAAAAGGAAAATGCAAGTTAACCACTGTAGTGACATATAAACATAAGACTTGCAAACTGTAGAATTGATTTAACAAATGAGGCCATTAATTTGCCTTTTACACTTATTTAGAAATCAGAGTAAAGTGTTGGACAGCTACACAAAATCATGTGGTTAGCATATGCAGAAGGGGCTTTTTTAAACAAACAGAGGAAGGAAATTAAATACTTCATCTTTCTCAGCATTATGCCATTTTTCAGGGATCCACTATAGAGGGCCTAACCAAATTAGGTAATTTTGATATGGCTTTTTTAAAAAATCTTGACATAGCTGTCTTCGAAAATACAGAAAATTGTTGGCATGTTGTGTACATGCCCATGAACTTAACTGTATGACAAAGCACAGTCTGTCTAGATTAGTGTAACTCCATTGAAGTGGTTTTACAACAGGCTAAATGATAGTGGAATTTAGTTCTAGGGGTGTAAGTGAAATCATTAAACAATCCAGAAGTTTTTTACTTTAGAGGTGTTTGCTTGATTTGAAGTAAATAATCCATTGAACTACTACTTCATTATTTAATATATTCAGACTCTAAACATATTCTTGCCATGCATCAGTAATCATAATAATCATGACATAGTCTTTCTTTAATTTATTCTTAAGTAGTTTTGAGAAAATATCATACTTTTATCACTAGATGGTGTATTGTATTAGTTATGAGCATCCACGTGTAAACCAAGATGTTTATAAACCTGCAGGAAAACTTTCTTGTGTGTGTGTAGGTTTTCTACTATTTGCCTTCGCGGAATGCTTGCTCTTTACTGCCTTCTTTGCTGCGATTTTATGGTATCTACAGTAAAATGGAAAATGACGGCCGTTATTCAAATATGTACATGTAGCGTTGTAGCTTCATTCCTTTCACTGAAGATACAGTAGAGTCTTAGTGGTACTCCTATTTGACAAATAAATATTGTGTATGGTAAGTTAGTAACCAATTCAAGAGTGCAATTCTCACCCCCTTTCAGTCAGTCTGACCCCAGTAGTACGTGAACCTCGTCTTGAGGTTAGATTAATTAGACATAGGGACAAGTGGAATGGCATAAAATACATTGTGTATTTAGATATGTAAGACTGACCAGGTATTTGCTTTTAATGGGAGAATGAAGTGTTCTAAATACAGGAAACGTGGCAGATCTTTTTTGGACTTTGACCTTAGTAAAGTAGGCTGAAGAAACTGGGATAAGAATAGGCAGTAAGGAACTAGTAGAAGGGGAGAACTGTCTGCTGAAAGGGTAGGAACTAACAGACTGGGAAGTTAAGCAATTCTAAACGTTAATTTTGGGAATGATTTTATTTAATGTCTTAATGACAAAAATGGTAGGAACATTCTGATGTCTTGCATTCTATCCGGAAGCACTATTGCCAGTGCAGGAGAGTATTAAAATAATGATGAAAAATTAGATGGGAAGAAAGACTAGAGTAGTACAAAACAAAAGACCATCCACTTAAACACTAACAACAACTAACTGCTAAAATTCGAGCTCGTCATTTGGATGTAGTTATAAGGAGGGTAGTTATCTTACTGTAGTTATCAGGAGCGTTTGTAGCTTCCTTCTGAAATTCTGTAATGTGGAACAAAGCTTTGGGGTCTCATCTGAAATCCTGTGTTCAAGAAAGATACAGATTTCTAACTGGGAGAGAGAAGAGTCACTGATCAGAGGAACAGAGAGCTTGCTTTTACAGCTCAGCTTAATTAGACTAACAAGCATGATATGTTTGCCTTTCCAAAGAGATTGTAAGTTGGACTAGAAGAAGAGAGAGCAAAGAGCTGAAGTTAGTGATCTGAAAGACAAATTTGCTGTAAAGCTAACTTAATCTGAAAACTCTGCCTAATATTTTTGTCAAACAAAACCTAAAAAAAAAAAAAAGATCTAGAGGAGACCTTCAAGGACAGCATTGCGGTAGGAGCACTGGCCACTTCAAATTTGAACAGGATCTTTAAATGATGTAGTTGCCTTTGGTATTATGGGACATAGCCCAAGAAATTCCTGTCATTTCTATGCTATAGTTCTGTGTAACATGAACAATTATATCTCATGTTTCTTGAACTGAGAATTAGAGGGATTTTTGGTAGAAAGTGATTTAATCCAAATACAGGGGATTTTGTGCACCTTTGCAAATTAATATTTACTTAATCTGTTCTATGAATCCTGACGGTGTCCAGAGGAATCTCTTTAAGTATTAGCTCTGCAGTATGTTGATGATACTCTTGCAAATAATATTTATTGGAGATTTCAAAGCAAAAATATATAAAGAGTACTCATAATTATGACTAACTTCTGTTAAAAACATAATTTTCATTGTAGCTTCATAATTAATAATGAACAGCATACTTGATTAAATAGTAATACTATAGAACAGTAAACCAGTTGAACAGCTAATTTAAAAACTTTTATATCAAACGCTAGCCGTTTTGCTTTTCTACACATTACGCTTTCTCAGGGAGTTTAAGCAAGTCTTGTTTATGTAGTTTGGCCAGTTTCAGTTTACTGTTTCTAAAATCTGTGTTCTGACATTTCTTGGGTTTTGACTGACTTGAAGTATATGCAACATCTTTGGTTAGTGACAGGAGAATCGAAAAATGATCTTTGTAAAATAATATACACTTTCTTTCATAAATACTGCTTTATAGGAAGAGCATGTGACCTGATTGACAGAGGAGACAATACTTATGGAGGAAAGTGGGTTATTAATCCTAGTGGTGGCTTGATCTCAAAGGGACATCCACTTGGTGCTACAGGTAATGCAAAAATATTTTATTTAATTTAGCCATGACAATTGGATATAAAATACAGTTCTTGAGCAGATTTTTCTCACTTTTTCTTTACGTATGTTAACAGGACTTTGCATTTGTCTTTATGAAACAGATGAAGGCTTGGATTATTACAGGATTCATAAGATGAAAGTTCTGTAATTGATTCTCATTTCTGACTAATGCAAGCATTAGGGCAGGCTGGCAGGGTTGGTCAAAACAAAATACTTAAGAGTGTGAATTTGATCCTTAGCGCTAGTATAGTTTTAAGGTGCTGCCTTTTATTACCTAAAAAAAACAGCAAAGCAGCTTAACGTTTTTTTTTTTTAATCACTGCTCAGTAGTGCAACTTCTGATGAATGTAGTTGCAATAACTATTTTCATATATTACTGACTTTTATAATTCAATTTTTGTTTTAGATCTTTACTGCATCTGAATAGCCTGTGGCTTTTTTTAACTATAATAAAAGCTATTTCTGTTGAGCCTGGGATTTCCAAATATTTATCTGATGTTTACATCCGAAGTTCACTGTTAGTTGCTGTTTCCCAGCAACGTGGGCTTTTCTTTTCTGTTTGTTTTTTGTTTTCTTCAAACTGCTACACTTTACTTCCAAAAGGATCTTGGATAAAATCTGTTTGGATTTGTGAGAATATTTCACCTTCCTTGTTTGGAAATGAGAAATTGTCAGAAAGTTGGAGCAGAGGAGATTTTCTGAAACAAATGTTCTTTACCTAGACATTTACAGCTATTTAGATTATCTGTAGTTAATTTGACAGGAAAAAAAAAAGTGTTAGGAAACTTTGGAAGAATAACATTCCATTTAAATGAGAACGTGGGTATCTGTAACAGGAGTATTGCTAGATGTGTGTTACATTTTTGTCACTTGTACAATGATAAATATAGAGGCAGTTAGTAGTGTTCATGCTTCTCCCTATTTCAGTAGGATGCAGAGAAGAATCATTAAAATGCAGAAAATGGCATGCCTATGGACTGTCTTAATTTTGCTCTAAAACATTCCTGACTCTAGTTATATGCTGATCAGAGGTCATATATGTCATCTTAAATTTCCAAACCGTTCCAGGGCAAGATGCTCCACCATACACATTTTCTGCATGAGGCTAAGAGAGAGCGTGTGTGAAAGTTGCTAATTCTCATATGAAAGATTGGAATTATTTATAAGAAAAGTTTTTATTCTTGCTCTTCATAATGTTTCCCTGGGCAATGCATAAAATTCAGGGTGCAGATTCCTCCTGTAACTTGCCCCAAAGGCTTGTGCAAGTGCCTGGGGAAGAGACGGGAAGGGAAGGAGCTCTGTGGATGACAGGGCAGAAGAAATGTGCCTCCAGTGGAGCTGGATCATAGTTGCACAATAACTGGTAAAAAAAAACAACTGACTGATTGATAGGAAATAACTAACTGATAGAAGGAAGAGACAAAGGATAAAAAGGTAAACGTAATCTTAAAATCAGCTATAATGAAAAAGCATTCATGTTCACTTTGGGCCTCGCAGGAAAAGCCTTTCTAGATAACTGAGCTATCATGAATTAACCTACTCAAATCATAGTCCTCGTGTTCATTTAATATCTTGCTAGGGAAGGAAGTTTAAAGACAGTACCTGTAGTGTGTTCTTTATTTCCATTAACCAGCTAAACCTAGCAGTAATTTCAGTCACGATTATCAGTTGTGTGTATTGCAGGGTTTCTTCTTCCATTGTAGTATAATATAAATTTCCTGCGTGTTTGAATAGTAGGCATTTGTATTGCAGGGAAAAAAAAAAAAGGCAGCATTTTTTTCAGAAGATCTTGTGGTCACATTTTATTTATGTGTGATCTAGCAAACTCGGGTTGAATTCTGATTTCTGCCCCGAGAATGCATGCCGAGATTGGGCAGGCTGGTTTCATGTAATTAAAGGCACTTGGGTAGCTCTGCTAACGCTTCCGAGGTAATCCTAGCCCATGTTACGTGAGAACACACACAACCGCTTCAAAAGGCATATGATTTTCACGCGTTTGTGCCTTGGAGGTTCAGAAGCCGCTGCCGAGCTGTCTGTGTCCTAAGGCCCTCGTGTTGCAGAACCCCCCCCACCCCCAGCTCGGGGCTCGCGCGCTCTGTGCTCGATTTTGCAGGCCTGGCACAGTGCGCCGAACTCTGCTGGCAGCTGCGCGGCCTGGCCGGGAGGAGGCAGGTCGGCGGGGCGAAGGGCGCGCTGGCGCACAACCCGGGCCTGGGCGCGGCAGGACTGTCCGGAACCGCTCGCTTTCCGGCCCTGTCTCTTCCGAGCGGAAGAGAATGCGGGGCCGAGACGAGCCGAGTCGCAGTAAAGCGCCGTGAAAGCCGCGGTGCGCCCTTACGCTTCAGAATAGCGCAGGAGAGCGCCAACTGCGGAGGGCAAACATATGTACTTACGAAGTGACAGTGGACTTCTGTCAGGCGTTGGGGACTTCTGGGGGTGAGTGGGTGGGAGCACGCTCTGAACGGGAAACGTGGAGCTGAACGGTAGTTTCTGCCTGGGTTTGTACAAGAGGAATTGCTTTGAGTCGTGGAAATCCTTCACTTCAGTGGGAAGACACTATCAGCCGTTTAGAGGCTGATGCAGTTTAGAGGCATCAACATGCCGTACTGGAGTTTTTGTTCGAGATTGTGCCACTGACTTCCTTGAAGGCAGTGTGTCGCTTACAGATTTTGAAGTTACTACCCATCTGCTATGTTGCAAAATATATTGCCTACTCTTTTTTGTTTACCACGAGCAGCTTAATCATGTCATGCAACATTGATGATGACATGGGTACAAAGAATTATCAGATGATTTTAATTATAGAATATTTATGTAAGAATTTTTTAGCCCTATTTCTTCCCTCTGTGCAAGAAAGAAATCGCACTTAAAAACTAAAACTTGCTCAACAGTTGGAATTGTTGTATACCTGCGGCAATGCAGGCCTATGCAGAGATTATAACTTTTGCAGTGTCTTATTCCTGATAACTCTTACTGCATGTTGTTTATAAGTTTTTTGAAAAGAACAAAATATCCCGTTTCTGGCTTGCATAATTTCCTGTCTCCTAAGGGAAGGAAAAATACAGTGTTAAAAAACACACGACCAAAACCCCGCAAAACAGAACAGGCACTATGAAAGGGAATTATTGTTTCCAGGGGCTTGTATTTAAAAAAAAAAAAAGAAAAAAAAGAAAGAAAGAAAAAGGTTATCTCTGGGAGATACAGCTATCCACTTTTTTTTCCTGCTAAAACTGTTACTGATTTCGTGAAGAAATTATTTCCAACTTTATGTATTTTTATATAATATGATTCGAAGTGCTTATTAGAATTCAGGCATGTAACTCATCCAGGCTGGGCTAGAGATTTTTACCTTTGCCATTGTAGCATACTTCAGAGCGATAAAAGAAAACACTGCTGTGAAGTCATCTTGTAATCTACTGCAGTTCTGTGCTAGGACGGACAGGAATTGGGAGAATATTCTGCAGTTTTTTTAATACACAGTTTCAGGAGAGACTTTGTTAGTATACACTCCCCTTTGTTTTTACTTTCGACTTTGTTTACAAAGATTGAGCTACTCCTTGTGGTGTTTATGTTTTGATTTTTAAAGCTTGATGCCAATATTTTCCATTTGCTCTAAAAACACTTGGACGGTAAAGTTATCATGCGGTAACCTTTCAGAACGAAATATTTGCCTCACTACTCCTGTTTCTAATATGAACTCATACTGTTCCTGGGAGATGATGGTATACTCTGTGGAAGAGGTGATGAGAGCAGCAGTTTAATTTGGAGGGGCTACGCAGTAAGTTTTTGTAGTAGAGTGTCAGAATTTATAATCCAATCCCTTCCTCGATCTGCTAGAGGCTTGGCTATATGGTAGGATATGTGTGACAGAGGAAAATCATGTGTTTTCATGGATTCTCTTCATATGCTTAAAAAACTTGGCAGTAGGCATTGGTCTACATGCGTAAATCTGGGAGGAAAACACTTTTTTAGGTGTTATACTATTTTATAGCTAATATACTGTTTTTTCCATTGCTTTAAGCTCTGTCTTTAAAAAGCTTGTAATTTTATAGAGTAGGGAATATGTTGTTACGTATTTGTACACCATTAGAATTAAGATACTGAAAATAGTGCCTCCCTTTCAGTTAGAAAAAACTACATTTATAGACAATGTTTCTCCTAATTTACTAAAGCTGACTTGAGCTTCATTGCTATTGAGAATTTTTAAAATTCTGTCTCAGGTGCATCTCAAAGCATAGAAATATTAGCAATACCTATTTTGTAATATGAGAGGCTTAAGAACCCTTATTTCTCTCAAAGGCTTTGTGTGCAGAAGATACCTGACGTGAGGAGTTGTGCTAATGTATATCAGACTTTGGAATGAAACAATTCAGCTAATCTGTTCAAGACACAGCTGATATAATTGATTGATTTGTATATTACATAATTGGGGGAAAGGTGGTGGCATTTCATGTTTATGAAGATCTTTCGTAATTTTTTTTTTTTTTTAAAGTCTGCCTTGCATCACTGGAGATTCAGATCTAGCTTGTAATTAATGGCTTTAGTAATAGTTGCCATGAATACAGATAAAGGTAAATGGCAGCAGGACTTGATTGATTTTTGTTTTTGTTTTTTAACAACAGTTCTGCTTTTTGTTGACTCCTTAAGCATCTACAATTTCAGCTTCTAGTTTGAGAGTTGTCTCTTTCTGGAGAGTTGCTGTAATGGCAGAGTGAACCTTACTGGCCTCTGTTATAGAGGCTAGCGATTCTTTTGAAGTTGTTAGGCGGGATGGTGGAAATTGGTACCATTTCTGGAAACTAAACTTCTGGTGCTGTTTTATAAGGGACTTTGTCAAAACAGGGTAGTACTCTGAGACGGTGTGTGCTGCTTTTCTCTTTGCACACACGGTGTGGCCTGTTTTTCGTAATAAGAGCAATGATTTACACTCATTGTAAAATTAGTGACCTGTCCACACATGCAAAAACATCTAGATAGTTGAAGTGCTTTTAACTCAGGCTGTCTAGCCCATGTAATTGCTCTATACCACTAAAGTGTTCTAGTATGGCTGTTCTGACTGGGGTCAGGCCTATTCAAGATAATCTGAGGATGTTGAAAACACAATTAAACTAACATAAATGAATGGGATTTTCATTCCAGTGACCATCATATTGTGGCTATGCCTCTCAGCGCAGCTGTTGATGGATTTAAGTCACATTTGGTCTTCAAGGAGATTGAAAAGAAGCTCGAAGAGGTATTTGACTGCTTGTTTTACCTGTTACAGGGGTTTTTAGTGATAGAACACATGGTAAACCTGAAGGGAATATTGTAGCATCAATTGCTCTGTCAGGACTGCTCACTGAAACAAATGTTACAGCTTTGTATCTCAGTGTCACAAACCATCTTATGCTGTGCATTCGGTGCCATGTTTTTAAGTGACTTTTTCGACAGTTCCTGCCTGTGTAAGAGTACTTCAGTAAAGGCAAGTTTAGATTGTGTGTGAGGAGCTTGCTGGTTAACACTAGGAATTTTTACTTTGTGTTGCTGCTTGCTTTGTCACTATAATAAAAGAAAGAAATTACTTTTTGTCAGACCTACAGCAAGACAAGACTGTTGAGCCAGATGTAATTCTCTTAGTTGATAGGTTTAGTAGAGATAGATAGCATTAGATTTTTTTTGGTTATTTAAATGAGGCCTACTAGAGGGAAATAAATATCTCTCTATTAGTAAAAAGGGTAAAGATTTTCTACTGCCTTTTGTTTAATTCAAACTATTTTAAAATTATTTTGAAGAAAATGAATAATTTGCATGTTCCTTGGTCGTTACAGGAAGGAGAACACTTTGTAAAGAAAATAGGTGGTGTCTTTGCCTTCAAAATAAAAGATGGTCCGGATGGGAAAGAAGCAACTTGGATAGTAGATGTGAAAAATGGAAAAGGCTCTGTGGCTGTTAATTCAGGTCAGTGCTATTTTACTGTGTCATTGCAAGAAACACACGTGAATGAAAAGAATATAAATTTATATTCTGTTCAAACTATGGTGACCTTGAGCAAGAGTGGGGTAGAATGACCTTATTTTAAACCTTTCTTATTACTGGCAGTTTTAATCCATGAAGTTTAGAACAAAGATATAAATGTATTCTACTCTGAAGTCTGTCTATGTGTTTGCGTATTTTCCAGATGTAGACTAGTAGTGTCATATGACTCCTGCAGGAACCAGAATACCAAAGAAAGATGTTATCAATAATTTGTAGCCCATCCTTCAGTTGCTTGTTGGAGACCCTGGTAGCTGGTGCATCTAGCCAGTTACTTCACCTTTGCAACTACTTAAACAATGGGACTGACTGATCTAAACACTGTACTACCTCACATAGAGGTCAAGCTCCATTTAAAAAAAAAAAAAAAAAAAAGAGGGGAGGCAGGGTGGTGGTGGGGAACCCTCCTCAAAAGTTGTGGTAGCAAAGGATTTGTACACTTGTCATGAAAGTGTTATGTCCAATATCTGAAGTAATGCATCCCGTTAACATAAATAAAAAGCCAAAGACAGCTCTCTCCTCAGTTTCATTATTTCTATGAACTGCATCATAAAGCTTTCAATTGAAAACATTACGGGGGATTTGATTTGGAATTCATTTATCTAAGGTATTACAGAAAGAAAAGTACTATGTTCTGCTGTTTGGACAACCTTTTATCACAAACTTAAGTTTATTAATAAAAAGATGAGCGTGGGAGAAGGTGTGTGCAATTTTTAGCCCTTTAGTATACACATTAATGTATGAGAGCTTATTATTTATTTCAGCTCCTTTCTGGTAAAGGAGATCCTGAAAACTTTTGGATTTGAATTAATACGAATGAGAACTTTTAGGACGCACATATTTTTCCCATAGAAATAAGGGGCAGGAAATTCCTGAAATTTCAGTGATAAAAATCTTCAGGAAGTGTCACAGGGGAGAACATGTTTGCCCTGAGTTAAACTCAATATTAGGAAATTTAAGCTTAATAAAACTTAGGACAGTTGTGAACATTTGCAATTAGCATTCCATCTGAATCAAAGTGGGGTTTTTGTTTTTGTTTTTGATTTTTTTTTGCTTATTTTTCCTTAGCGCCTTTCAGAAAGGTCCATGTGTTTTCAGTGTTGGGATGGTCTGTGCTACAAGGTGACACAGATTGCTGTTCGCTATTGCAGAACCTTTTGCTGGTACTTTTATAATAGCCCTTATTTGTGAGTACTTTAGATACTATTGCGCTAACCTGTAGTATCAGGAGATTCTTTAGGGAGTTGCAGCTTGTATTACTGTTTAATCTCTCTGTTTGAATCTTTATGGTCAACTCTTGTGTTACAGATAAGAAGGCTGATTGCACAATTACAATGGCTGATGCTGATCTGTTAGCTCTGATGACTGGCAAAATGAATCCTCAGACAGTAAGTATAGCAAAGATGAAATGAAAATAGGAGTTTCTTAGAGGAAACAAGTGTTTGCAGGGGACAGAATAGCTTAAGAAGGGAGGAATATCAGCCCTCTGTTAGAAGAAATAGGGCTAGCTAGTATGAGTGTTATTGATGCTGGAAAGTGAAAATTGAGGTAAACATCCGTGGAACACTTAAGATTATTTTTTTTATTCCTCAGTGTGCCAAAAGCAGCCAGACCATACAAGTAAACCTGACCTCTAAGTTAAGTTACTGCTGTGTATTTCTGAGTTTGGAATGCTATAATATTGTTCTAGGTTTTTGGTCTGGTAATTATGTGACAATTAAAGAATTTCCACAAACTAAGAAGTGTTATGTTCTTAACTATCATATCTAGCAAAAGTTGGTAGGTAAAAATACGTCAGAAGACTGTTGTAGTTTATATGTAAGAAATTTTAGAAGCAGTTAGAATTTTACATCTAAAACTTAAATATTTTACGGCACGTACTTCATGTTTTTACAAGATCAGGAGGAAAAAAACAATATCCTGAACATGTCTGCTTTGCAAACTAGGCTTGTAAAACTGAATTCAACAGTAACAACAACAGTAGTTGTGGGGCAAGGAGGAGCAAGGAGTTTTAAAAATCAGTCATGGCATCCGCTCTCTCCTTAATACGCTACTGCTTTATGATCGCCAACTGAAGTACTGATCTTTTTGTTTTACGGACTGTCATCACTGAAACACTGGGTATTCTGCACGGCCTTGTGTACAAATACATCATTATGATAAGGCAAGAAACGTGATACCAAATGTATTTTGTTTAGCTATCACAAATACACTAAGTATAAATGTACAGCTTTCTAAGGTTACTATTCTAGCCTTTAGTGTCAGAAAATACATTTGTTGATGCATGCAAGGTGTCTGCTAGGAACTGTTGGAATGGTAAGAGTGCAGGCTAGGACCTGTGCATATGTAACAGCCCATTAGCTTGTGAAAGAGTCTTAAAATCTAAAGGTATGGTTTTATTGTTTTTTGTTTTTTCAAGCATGAAAACTAGGAAGAAGGAAAAAAAAATATATGTGATGTACCCCAATGAAATTAGATTATCTATCACAATCTTAAAATACTCAGAGTTGAAAGCAGCATGGTGGAAAAAAATATTTTGGATCTCTTCCGGTCATAAGTTTTGGGAGGGGAGTGCATCTGGGGAAATGTGTTGTATTGCATTTCACACAATCTTTCTTCTTTTTAGGCTTTCTTTCAAGGCAAATTGAAGGTTTCTGGGAACATGGGCATGGCAATGAAACTTCAGAATCTACAGCTTCAGCCAGGCAAAGCTAAACTTTGAGATCATTAGGCTAAACAGTCAGTTCTTAGTATTTTTGACAAAAAATTAGAATGAAACTAGACATTGGCAATAATATGGCACAGGTTGGACTTAATTGGACCTATCTCACCCAAATGCTGTGGTTAAGAGACCTGAATACTCTTACTGAATTCCATCAATTTATGGCAAAGATTTTTAAGCTAAGCTTGAGACACTAACTCTTACAAATGATATATGGTGGGTATTATGTTAAAAAAAAAAATCTGTTTTAACCAATATGAAATTTTTATAAAACTTAGACAAGATGAATTAAGCTGCTTACTGTTTTTCAGGTTAGTTGGGAACACAGTGGGGAATGTTATAAGTAGTTTGACGTACAGATTAAATGAGTTGCATTTTTTTAAAAACCTGTAATAGCAGGTCACGGCCTTCAGACATCCATTCTAACAAATTTGCTGCTGCTTAAATTAAAATGATCTTATCAGTGGGATTGCTAACAATGTTTTTTTTTTAAAAAAAAAAAAAAAGGTTTTAGGGAATTTGCTATAAAATACTTTTCTTATTACCATTTTGGAATTAAAAAATAAATGAAAGTATCCAAAAGTAAGTCAGAACTAGAACATTGCTTTGAAGTATACAGGATTTAATAATACTTTACCTTGAAGAAACTTGAGGTTCCCCAGGAGAGCAGGAAGGGAGACTAACCAACACTTATCTGTTTTCTCCTAAGCAGTTCTGGAGTTGATCATTAGGAAATTCTTATCAGTAATGTAAAAACTTCTGCTTTGGGAAAATGTATTCTGGTTGGATGTTCAATAGATAATTAAATATACTTTTCCTGTTCTTCTGCGTGTCTCTTTTCCTTGGATTTGTAAATATGGATTTCAAATTCATGCACTGAGTTGATTATTTTATACAAATTATCTCTAAGAGCTCTCACAGTCATTCATTTTCTACGCCTCGGGCACCATCACTAGATAAACTATAATCTACATCTCGATCCATTATATACACCGCACATATATGGGTCAGGACAGAGGAACTTCTCCATAAACTTTCACTTCCCCAGTGTAACTAAAATAATGATCAAAATGAGCTAATTCAAGCCAGTTGAATTTATTCAGTTGTTTTTCTGGTGTGGTTGCTTAACAGTCAAATTGCTTAAACTGTAAGAATGGCTACACTGGATCAGACCAAAAATCCATCTAGCAGATTACCTCTTCTGACCATTCATACCTTGGAAGTAATATTAATACAGTCCAAACATCTGTTTGCCCAGAATACTTTCCTGGCTGCCAGTGATTATCAGTTCACAGATTTGAGGGGGTCCCTTAGACTTTTGTAGTGGAATAAACTGAACAGCTTTGTTGTGTCACTCCTGGTGTTAATGGTCCTGCCCTATCCCTTTCAGGCTCCTTAGTTCATTTAAGCGTGCCACACAGAGAAGTCCTTTTAAACGTCTCACCATCCGTGTTTCTTTTCTGTACCTGGTGTTCTGGTCACCGCATAGTAAAAGGCTTTTAAGATACAAGGGCACAAAAACAAATGCTTTTTCTGGTTTTCTTACCCTCATGTCCCCCAATTCTTATCATTTGTTTTTTCTGACTGCTGCTGGGTTTTGAACTGACGTTTTCTTAGATCTTATAACTGAGGCCTCGTTTCTTTCTGATGTTAATTCAGTACTTATTTCTGCAGGGTGAAGCTGGAACTTGTTTTTTTCATTCTGTGCATCACTTGATTTACACTGAATGTCAGCTGCTTGCTTTATTGTTCAGTCAGTGTTCAGACCTGCCTGCAGCTCTTGTAGGTACCCCTTCTCTTTATTGCTCCGAATGAAAGAACTTTAATTGCCTCGCTGTTCCTCCACTTTTCTAAGTCATCAGTTCAGTGTTGAATAGGACAGATCTGTCCTTGCTCCACTGAAAACTTTTTTGTAAATCCCATCTGATCATGCAAATCAGTCTCCTCTTGTGCCTTTGTTTGACTGATCCAAAGGATTGTAGTAGGTAGGAGTCTTACCTCTCAAATAAAAGTAATGTTAACTCACCACAAAATAACATTTGCTAATATGTCCAACTGTTTCTTAAATTCAAGCTGTTTGGTTGGTAAGTTTAAATAAAAGTGAATCACAGAATTGCGGTAGTAATTCGGTACTTTAAATAATTGGCTCCTGTGTCCTGTGGCTCCTGGACTAGGAGTTGCATTTACTGCCTTTCATCAGCAAGCATTCTGTCTTTTGAAATCACTGATACTGCCAGAGGTTTTGAGTGTATCTCTATAATGCAAGCTAAGAACCCACCTGTTCCAAGAATTCTGAGCACAGTTCATGTATTCTTGGTCGCTGTTTAATTAAAAAAAAAAAAAAGAAGCTGTCTCAAATATTCTATTTAAGAATTTACTTCTCCAAGCAGAATATTAAAGTGGATATCAATGATAAATGTCATTTTACTTTAAAATGTTATTTTTCTAAGTTACCTTTTGTATTTTTAAATATTGTATATTATGTATGGTCCTCAGCAAATTATCTTTCATCTGTTTAAGCTTACAAAGTCAGCAATCACCTGATGCTGTGGTGTGCCAGTTTATGGAGCTGTATAGACAGAAAATTAATCTCACGGGAAAAAGGTGTACAAGTTTCTGGTGGTCCAGCTCCCTTTAGAATGGGATGAGAGCTAAGGTCAGGTCGAGGGGGAGTGGTGAGGAATGTGGAGTGTGAGGGAGGAGATAGGGAAGGTGGACTTCAGCAATTATGTCTTAGATCATTTTAAACTGTCAAGGAACTTCATTTTTCTCACGTCTGCCAGCCTTCTATGGAGTTACCGAGATTGCATCCTCTGTCTGTACCTATCACTACATTTAACTAATATTTACATAATATCTGCTGCAGGTGCCCTAGAGAGGTGAGTGGAATCTTCAAGAGGTGGCTAGTCACTGAACATAGCAAAATGTAATTTTTGATATGAAAGTCCTTATTTAAAAAAAAAAAAAAAATCTAGTTCTCTAGGCAGAGGATTTAGTGTTCTCAGACTCCCAGTTCATATGAAAGGAATTCTTCCTTTGTAGACTGTGATGAATACCTTTTAATACTTTTTGAAGGAAGCCATTAATGTTTTTATCAGCTGTGATTAATGTGTTAATTATTTGACAGCAGAGATATTGCCAGGTTGGCAGAGGTAATCTCATCTTCATGTGTTCTTGTAAAATTCGTGCAGTTCTTTCAGATACGAACTTTTATAGTAAAAGGAAAAAAATGAACGTGTTTTATTGCTCTAAGAGAATCAAATAGATGTGTCTGAGTCTGAGCCAGTGAGCAGAGCAGTGCCTAATTCAGCAGATCTGGCTTGCAGGGCTTCCAGTGAACGTTTTGGTTTTGGAGCATAGATTTTATTTAAAACTTCTGTTTGAATTTTGTATTTCAATCCTGCTGCTTTGCCTAGTCAGAAATGGATATGATGGAGTAGGTAAGCCTTACACACTTTATCCATATACATTTTCAGACTTGACTGTTGCTTTTCAGATGATGAATTTGTGACGTTAGGAATAAAACTGATAGTCAGAACATGGGTCCTTTTCTTAAGAAAACCATGCTACTTTGAGGAATCCCTGTTCCCAAGTTCTTCAGGATAACAAGTTGGAATTTGTCATGCAACTTTGAATTTGGGATATTCACAAGAGAGCTCTTTGTGGATGAATAAGGCTCTATCTGTGGGCAGATAAGGCAGTCTGAGGGGAAAAAATCATTCCTTCAACTGTCCATCGTTGGCCTTACCTCTTGAGTAGCTTCTTGGGAGTGTATGACGGTGTCTCACACAGGTGATCATAATTGTGCAACCACTGGAAGGAGAACAGAGAATTTGGCATGTGTCTCATATTGTTTTATATGTGCAGAGCAAGTCCTCCTATTAAGAGGTAATGTGGGATCCCTTTGGTAAGTAGCAGAGAGACTAGTCTGCTTGAGTGAGGAGGTTGTGAGCAACTGAGCATCATTTGTGGCAGCTGGGTTAAGGGGCTGCTCTTTTGGGAGATATAAAGGTCATTTCAGATTGCAGGAGGATGGGGCAAAGGGGCTTGGCCATGTGTCTTCTCTTCCATGATTAAAAAACCTAAAGCCTGTATAATCACAAGGTTGGATTTGAATGTATGTTTTCCGTATGCCAAATTCATATGAGGTCAGTTTAAACTCTTATCTCTTTGGAACAGGAATTATATTGTTTCCTGTTTTACAGAGTGCTGAGCTGAATGTCAACTCTCATTAAATAGAGGAGAATAAGAATGCAATCAGCCTGGTGGATAAAAGGCAGGAAAAAGTCTCTTAACTATGAAAAATCAACACTTCAGGAAAAAAACCACATGTGGAGGACAAATGCTGGGAAAAAAAGCCCTCTGTTTGGAACCAATTCCTTTATTGCTTAAATAAACAGTAGTGTAATTTCTTGGAGTGACAGTGTGAGCTGTTCCATGCATATCTTTAAGAAAAATTAATTGCTGACTTAAAAGCAGATGGCTTTATATGGCCCTGGGTGGGTTCTCCAGGAAATGTTAGTTCTTTACTGTGATACAGGAACAGAAATAGCCTAGTAAAGCTACAGCAGGCGAAAAAGGCATGTGTAGTAAACCATAAAGCAAGAACGAAATATGCTGTGTCTGTATTCCATATTTCAGGTAGATTAAAAGCAGTCATGGATTTTTTTTTTAATTTATTTTAAACAATACATGTCCTCTGAGAGAACAGACGTCTTAAAGTTCATTCGGATCAACACACAGATGCCAGTAGGCTCGTGGCCAAACTCTGTTGTGCATACTTAGATATGAAAAATACTTCCCTTCGTGCCTTGGAGACAAAAAAGCTTTTTATTCTTTGTGTTTTGATTATTCATTTTTTAAAGCAAATGATGGCAAGTTCCTTAAGAGAATTTTAATGGGCTTTTTTCTCTCCTTTCAAATAAAGGCACGGTATCTGCATATAGCAATGGTCCCTTCAGGAATGCAAGTGTTTCTGTAGAGTCTTACTTAAATCAGATAAATAAAAGGGTAAAAAGACATTTTACTTAAATTTGAAAATGTAATTAAAGTAAACTTAAATCTCCTGAATCCCTCATCTCATTCTTTCCATGCTGATGATGGGTGAGCTAATACATAACCACTGTTCTCTGAACTCCCCAAATGCAATCAGGCTTCAAAAGAGCTGCTTAAACCCTTTGTCCTCTGCCCCGTGGTTCCTTGCGGGGGCTGTACGTTACTTGAGCTTAGCATATCACATCTAAATTTAGCCTATAATCTCTTTAGGGCAATGACAATGGTTGCGAGGGAGAGTTGAGCAGGTTCTTGTGAATTTACGCTACCTTTGCGCTGTCCTGATCCTCCGTGGTTCCACGAGGCAGGTGCATCCTTGGCGTAACTTAGGTAAGTCTTACGGCTTTGTCAGTTGTAAGCCTGTGCTGTGGAGTATATCGTACTATATATTACAGCTTGGACCCGGACATGCCTTTATGCTGAGGTCTGCAAGAGGGTCTTTGAAAAAGAGAGTTCAAGTAAGCAAAGACTGTAATTTGACTGGAAATGTTTCCTGCAACTAATTCTTGGTTGTGAGTCTTTAGATGGAAATGCTTTCCTCTGAAAGCACCTGAAGGCAATAGTGACAGAAATACTGGTTGTCTGAGTTCTTAAACCATGCTAGGGCCTAGCCCTTACCTTAGTGGTGCGTCAGAATGCGTTTAGGATGGGTTTTCCTGGGGGTTTTGTGACGCGGGAAATGCGGGACTAGGCCTGGAGATAGGAGATCGCAAGTTTGGGTTACGTTGCTATAAGACAGTGAGAAGTGGAGGAGGTGAAACAAGCAGCTTATATAGCTAATTTACAGCATAGCGTAAGGGTGTAAGTGTTGCCTTCACGCATGGGATGTCTGGTTTCTGGTACTGGCTCTGTCCTGATGGATAATCTTGGATTGGTGATGACACTCTGTGCCTCTGTTTCCCCATCACTAAAATAGGCATGATGGCCCTCTTTTTGTAAAGCCCTTCTCTACCTCTAGATGGTATATGATAGCTAAGTCCAACAAGAAAATGCAAATAAGCATATGCTTTCAAAGAAGGGTGAAACCTGCTCTCTCACTTTCCCTCTCGGGCTCCTCTGGCATCAGTAGTGAGCTGGCTAATCACCCTTGTCTTCCTTTTCTCTGCCTGCAGACTAGGGTAACGTGTGCTGTCCCAGTATAAACTTTTTGCTCCCCCCGGAAAACATCGTTTTTATATGTCCTCAGGTTGTTATAATATAGAAAGGGTAACAGGCAGGTGGAGGATGGGGAATGCAGAATACATCCTGGATCTCTTAATCATTTAACAAAAAGGCAGTCAGTTTTGCTTTGTTTTTGTTTTAGTGAAAACACACTTCCCACGCTGACTTTTGAAAGTTACACGTGGCACAGAGAGGGATCTGTTCCAGTTGATAGGAGCGTGGAAGAAGAGAGGGAGGAAACGACTTAATTGCTTTAGACTTTAGTTCAGCTGGAGTTGGGAGGAAAGAATCGGTGTCTCTTTTTTGGAATACAGCAAGCTCTTGCTGAGGACAGATCCTCTGCAGATTTTGTGGAGGTATTGTATGGCATGTTTGCAGGGCATTTGCAAAACAGGTGGCTTTGTAGTTATAAAATAACTCTGCTGTCAGTGACAAAAAACTGTGCTTCTTTCGTAGAAATATTGCTGCACTTGGAGCATGCTCTGTTATGAACAGTAAATTCCTCTTTTTTTTTTAATAAAAGAGAGACCTGAAATGCCAGGTTTCTGGTCCTAACATGACCAGAACTCTGTGTGTGTGCGCATGCGTGTTTAGTGCTGTGATAACAGAGCTTAGAGGATGTAAAAGAGACTGTGGAGATGGGGTATTATGTCAAATGTTGGGACTTTGCCTCTAAGACACTTGTTGTTTCACAGCCTATCTAACCCTGATCCCTGAAGATCAGCTGATGGATTGAAAGTCAAGGGGGGAGTTGAAGGGGAGGGAGATGAGATACGGGGAAAATTGCTGATTTATCTGTTCCTTGCTAATTTGAACCAGGCCCATGGGGAAGGGGGGACATTCTCACATGGAATTCGGATTTTTGTCTAGAAGGCAGCTTAAATTAAAGCTCTAGTAACCGCTAGTGCAGCTCCACTCTCCTGCAGTGCACACACAGCTTCTGCTTCTCTGCTGTCAGTTCCAGCATGCTTTCTTCTGGCATCTCTTGTGGATCTTGCAAAGTGTGTTGACAAAAAGCAATGGGAGATTTGTTTTTTGCCCAAGTCTTTATATTCAGACTATAGCTGCTTCCTCTTTCCTACTCACATTTTCCCATATGGTGACTTTGGAAAATTCCTCTCCGATTTCACTGGAAAGTGCAGGAAACTCTCGTTGGTAGAGGGTTGCCTGTTACTCTCTCTAATTCTGCTGTTCACATCTGGAAAGGATCTGGCTTGGAAAGAGGAGTCTCAGTCTGAGCTCAGCGCATGTAACGGACATGGCATGAGCTGAGGGAGCCTGTGGGGGCAAGAGAAATGTTCTTCTCCAGTCATCTGATTTCTGTCAACAAAGGTGAGTTTTTCAGCGATTTATTTTTTTTTAAAGCTGGGCTGTCGGACAACATCCAGCAGCCTGCCTTTCAGCTGCAGCTGTTAGAAAGGATATTAAATTAAAGTGAACAAATTCACTTAACCTGCTCATATTGTAGGAGATGATGTTTTCCCAGTTGTGTGTGTGTGCGCTGTGAGAATGTATGTGTGGAGAACAGTAGGTACAAAGATATTTTGAACGTGATTCTGTTGTTTGCCGAAGTTATTGTAATCACTGAGAAGCGTATAATAACTCCTGAAACTTCAGCTTGCTTCTTGAGACTGTGCCTTTTGCAGCATGCTGCTTCTGGTGCTGTGTGGCAGCAAAGTGCAGGAGTCATTGGTGCATCTGTCTGGACTCAGAAAGATGCAACCACAGAAACCCCTGAACTGGCTTTCCGTGTAGCTTCAGTCTTCAGGTTATAGGGCCTGATCCAAAGTCCACTGCTGGCAAGGGGAGGGGAAGCTTTCTCGGGGGTTTTGAGCTAGTGCTTTAATAAGCCTTTTTTAATAAGGCTTTGGATCAGGCCCATGGGAATGAGTTTAAATGGAGTGAGTTACTTCAGACATGCTTTGAACTAAACGAAAATCAAAATCATGGCTGGTTTTACTGCCTGCACTCCAGATGCAAGCAGATGTTTCCTTATCCAAAGTGTCTCCCTGTGGCACCAGAACAGCAGTCACTTCAAAGGCGTAGCAGAAGCATGCGTACTGATGACAGCAGGGTGAGATTGCCTCTCAAATTTTAGTGTGTAGTAGGTGCAGTATTTCATGCTAATTTTTTTAACATCTTTTCACAGTTATATTTCTGGAGAAGTCAGCGTGCCACAAGTCTATAGAGACCAATATTAACCTTGATTGACTGGGTACTCTTGGAATGGTGTTGGTAGTGTTGCAGCAGGCTGTTTTTGACCCATGTATAAAAGAAGTTTTTTCTTTTTTTTGTTTTGTTGGTCAGTATCTATAAAGAATAAACTGATGGGCAAAATATTTCGTCAGATACTTGATAATCATACTTCTTGAGATTATTTGCTGAGACTATTTTCTGTAAGATTTCTGAAATGCTTTCTGAGATTAGGTCACCAAATACTGAGGATTTTACTGATCCACTGTTGGCATATTATATGGCCAATTTTGATCTCACTGTTAATATCTAGCTGCCATATAAGGCAGACCACCTAATCTCTGGAATGTTTTATAAAGGAGATTAATTTCATTATGTTCAGCTTTTACAGGCTGGAAACTGTGGGATAGTGGAGCAGGGGGGAGGGATCTCAAGCAAACAACGTGAAACGCTTAAAATCACCCAGCGTGCTGGTAGCAAAGTCCAGAGCTGAAGCAACCCCGCTCATGTGTCAGGCCAGTGCTCTGTCCCATCGTGTACCTCCTCCCATTTCTTCAAGCCAGCATTTAAAGAAATTATTTAAAACTTTCATGACTGTGACTGAGAGCAGGATCTGCCCAATGCTTCCCACGCGCTCAGCGTCTGTGAGAGCCCCAGAGAGAGGGAGTCTCAGTCAGTGCAAAGCTCCATCATGGGCATAAACGGAGCCGTGCCAGCTCGGATGGCTGCCGGCCTGGCTCTGAGACATTCTCGTTTCTGAGGCGAAGCAGCAGCCTGGATTGGCAGAGGAGAATGAGCGTTTATTTCATATTCAGGTCAAGAATCCATTGTGGTTTGTGACCTTAAAAGATCAGCCTAAATAAGAACTTCTGAGGACTTGCTCCGCTTTGGAGGATGGAGGCAGGAAAGAGTCAAAGACAACCCATTTTTAACCAGCTCTTACTGCAGATCGCTATATATGAAACCTGAGAAGGGCAGCGAATGAGACAAAAAGGGCTGGATCGGGGCCAGCTGGCTGATCCGGTAGATATCCAACTTCTGTTTGCGTTATTTTAACTTACTGCCAGAAAGATAAAAGCTGAACGCGAGCCAAGGCTTTAAGGCTTCACATCAGCACCAGCCAAAATCAATAGGAAGCCCATATGCATATTATTTTCGGTAGCTCCAAGGCTGTGTTATTGTTCGGCGCGCACGAGACAGCCCCTCCGCCAGGCATCCCACCGGGACGGGATGGGCCGAG